TCACCTGGGGGGGCAGGCGGGAGGCCAGACCGGGACCCCCCCACTCGGCCTCCCAGTCATGGCGGGCGCTGAGCTGGGCTGCGTGGGTCTCCAGCAAGGCTGGGGGGGTCCTGGCGGAAAGGGGGGGCTGTGCTGGCACAGGGGGGGCAGCCCCCCCAAAATACTCCTGCAGCTCTGCGGGGATGGGGGGTGTGTGAGCAGACAACTCCCCCAAAACAAGGGCCCCCCCCCCCCAAATCCCCCCCCCCCCCAACTCTTACCTGGCGGTCCCCCACTTTGGGGCAGAACCAGGGGGCACGTAGTGAAAGGGTAGAGACGACCTGTACCCTAAAAAGGGTTAATTAATGGATTAATTGCCCCTCCCAATTGAGAATTAGCCCCCCACAATTGGGGGGGGGTCAGGGCCCCCCCCAGAGTTCACCTGCAGGCGTTGCAGCTGGGGGGTGCGGCAAGCTGGGGGCACCCAGGGGATCCCCAGCTGCTCCCGGATGCGGGCACCGATGGCTCGTAGCAGAACCCCCGATTTCCCTGGGGAAGAAGACAAGGAAATGGTCAGCCCCCCCCCCCCCCAAATAAGAACAGGGGGGACCCCCCAAAATCCATACCAGGGGGTTCAGCCCCTCTTTCGCTCTCGTCCCGCGGCAGTTTCTCCACGAGGAAGAGGAGGAGGCGGCGGGTGTCGTGTTCGGAGCTGTAAAGGAAGGTCTGGTACCCCACGTCGCCCCCAAATCCAAGCTCCTGAGGGTGAGAAATAGGAGGGGGGGACACCCCAAAATTTTTGGGGTCCCCCTTCAAGATTTGGGGGTATTTTTCAGGGGGTGGTAGCAAGGTCTGGAACCCATCGCCTGTAAATCTCAGTCCTAGGGGAGAGCGGTGGGGTGGTCAGGGTTGGTGTCCCCGTCCCCCCAAAAATTTTGGGGGTCCCTCAAGATTTTGGGGGACACACACACACAATACCTGGCAAGCGGCCGCCAAGTCGGAAGCGAGTCGGAAGCGAGCGGAGATGCCGGGGGGCAGGAGGGGGCTGAGGGGGGCCCCCAAAGCCGGACGGATGGCCCGAAGGCAGCGGACGGCCGCTTCCACCACCAGCTCCGGGGAGAAGTCCCGCACGCTCTGCGCCTCGGGGGGCACCGGCC